AAGTATAATTGCCTGTTCACCATCATCTAATGATTCAAGGAAAATTGTCATAAACACAACTTGCGGTAAAGAAATCAAGATTCTACTCTCAAAATCAATATTGCTTTCTCCCTTTGTTGGAAGAACCCAAGTAGAACTCACCCTTAAAACCAGAGAGTACCCAGTGTGTTCACAAGGCCAACTTATAATTTCTGTGAATGATATGGGACGTATGGCATAGGACTTAGAAGTAGTCTGTTCCAAGCCCACAAACAAGTATCTTAAATATAAGTTGAGGGAGAAAATCAAGATTCTATACTAAAAATCGGAATTGATCTCTCTCACAAGCTAATTCTCCCGTAAAACCGGAAAATGGCCAGTGTGATCATAAGCCCACGACAGAGGCTGCCCAGTGAACTTATAAACCACAAGACAAACCACACACACACACACTAGTTTGCAAAATAGAGCACCTGAAATCTGCAAATATAGTGATCATCGCCATATAAACTGCGAAACTTGTCTACAGTACTCATTTCAGGTCTTCTTGGCACAAAAGCAACACTCAAATTCACCAAAGCCTTCACCTTGTCAGGTCTGTACAAGCACAAGTGCCAGGCTATTATAGCACCCCAGTCATGCCCAACAACAAACACCTTACCGGCATCAGGCGCCATGGCATCAAGGAGGTCAATCAGGTCACCGACTATGTGAAGGGTAGTGAATTGTGATGGGTCCTCAACTGGTGCACCGGTGGTGTCACCATAGCCCCTCAGATCTGGCGCCACAGCCCTGTAGCCTTGAGCCGCCAGGTACAGAATTTGGTGGCGCCATGAATACCAAAGCTCAGGGAAACCATGTAGGAAGAGGACTAATGGGCCCTGACCAAGCGCGGCTACGTGAATGTTGAGGCCATTAACAGGAATGATCTTGTGCTCAATTTTCTCCATCTTGCTTTTGTCTCTCTCTTTGTTTGCGCGTATAAATGAATTTTGATGGGCAACAAGAGACTATGGCCCTGTATGGGCACAATTGTCTGGGCACAATTAAAAGTAGATTAAAATGCATTTTCTGACCGTTGAAGTCATCAACGGTCCATTTTTCACAATTGCGGCTGGTATGGTTTGTGAGATAAAGTCAACAAAAAGGGTATAATAATCAATTCTATGGAAAAAGATGAATCCCTCCCAGACGAAGCCTATATGAAAATTTTGGACAATGACAAGGAAGGCAAAAAAGCTCGTAAAAAGTTCGAGTCGAGCTCGGCTCGGGCTTTGTGGAACTGAGCCGAGGCCGAGCCCCATTTTGGGCGTCAGCAAAATTTTTTTTGAAAATGCTGCTTGTGCACCTATAAATAGTCAAAATGATTTTATTGAATTTGGACAAAATGTTGCACAAAAGTCAATTATGCAGCCAAGTACTTATATATAAACATCACTTAATTAATTAAAAGTTCACGTTTCAAACACATTCAGTCCAAATAAGAAAGACTTTTAATAATGCGTCTAATGCCAAATGGTAAT